ATAGCAGCATGGCAGTGTATACAAAGGAGATGGGTAACATTTCTTTGTGTAATGTTTTGGGAAAGCTTGTTCATGAGGTATGCTTGGACCAGTGGAGAAGGGAAAGAGATTCGCCAGAAACCCAGATGCCCAAATTGAAGAAATGAGTTGGGCATTAAGGGGGGAGTGCAATTTGGACTCCCCCAACACACACCAAGTTGTACGTGTAGAACCAAAAGACCGTCCACCAGTGATGATCTGATCAGGACTGGTTGGGGGACTGGGCCAGGCTGAGGCCCCCCAACGAAGTCTTCACTCCCTAAAACCCAGCAGGACCAGGAGGCCAGGGCAGTGATGGTCACTTTATCTCCAAACCTCAGTCATTCTTAATTAGACCCACATTGGGAGTCTCTGTGTGAAGGCACACACACCTTTTTCTTTTGTCTCTATATCAAGAATGAAATAAAATAGACTGATTTAAATTTTTGCTTATTATTTAAAAAAAACCACCACATTAACTACTACCAATTGAACCTTGACTTTATTCCACCTTTTAGCAGAAGATCACAGGGAACCGTAAGGACAGTTGCTGGCTGTCTTTGACTTTGTATTCTCTTTTTCTTTGTCAGCAAGACAAGTCCTGAATTTTAGCTGGGCACAGGGCATCCCCGGGGAAGGCTCTATTTTACAGATTGGTGTGACCACATGACTGTGCTAGCCAATGGGATGCAAGCAGGAAGATGTAAACAACTTGCAGTTCACACCCCAAAAAAGGGAAAGATTGTGCCCAATCCTTCCCCTTCTCCTTTTTCACTTGCTGGAATGTGGAGGCAAGATTTGGGAACAGACAGCTTAGCCCTGAGGTGAAAGATGAGTGTTGAAGATGCAAAACAGGATCCGGGAGCCTGGTCCCAAACTGGGGAGCTTCCCTCTCAGCTCTGGACTGGTTGTGTTTGGACTGTATCATGAGCGAGAAAAAAATCCTGCCTCTCTTAAGTCGCAATTATTTTGACTTTTGTTACAATAGCCAGACCTGGTTTCTAAATAATACTGGTATTCGTTTTTATACCCTTTGTGCAAACGAGCATCTGGACCTCAAAGAGACAAATAACTTGCTTGAAATTGCTTATAGGACAGTCCCCTCAAGCTGCTCAACTATGATACTTTCTCTTAGAATTCCTCTCTGAGATGAAAATGCCAGTGAAATAATGCAGCTCTTTCCCCTCACCAAAGGAATAGCCAAATCTGAAGGAGACATGCATTCCGGAGCATCTGCCTGGCTGAGTGGATGAGGGTCCATTCTCTGTGAACTTCCATCCTGGACTCCCACCTCATCAGAGGCTGAGTTAGTTTTGAGGTTCTGATAACCTATATGGTAGGTCAGTAAATCATAAAAATGATCATCTTCACTTAGTATCAATTTCTTTACCAGCATTTTACACTTAAGGGCTTAAATGTGGAGTTTTATGTATTTAAAACAGAGTCATTTAGCACTAGAACAGAGATTATGTTGCAAGATATTTTGTTTGTTTATTTAAGATTTTTAAACATTGTATGTTAGTGAGATTTGGGTTGTGAGAGCCATCATGGCATCTCTGACTTGTTTTCTGTTCTGGGGTACCGAGGCGCTTACTTGTGAGATGCCAAAACAGAGGTATGGTGGCCAGGGTTTCCTTCGGTCCTCTCTGACAAAAAGAGGATCCATCTTCACAGTGATCTCAGCACTTCTGATGCCCTTTGGAAATTAGGAAACAACTCAATTATACCTGTGAGCCATAACTTGATCTCAGTCATCTCCAAAGCTATTTCCAGGTTAGTCAGAATCAAAACGGCACACAGAGGGGGAGGCAGGGGCAGATTTTCTTGCCCTTCTGCACAGGAGTGGGAGTGACTGAGTAGTGAAAGCCAAAGCTGGGGATGAAAGCAGGGACCAGAAGAAATGCCAAGAGAGCCAAGATAGCAAGGAGATAGGGGTCAGAGGTCAAAACAAACAGGGATCCAACCAGGCTGGGGAGGGCTCATCCACACCAGCACTGAAGCTTTTTGAGGCTGAGGAGAAGGAAAGTGTTAAAAGAAAATTTAGAGAGCTTTACTTGATATGAATATTTTACTGAGTGAGAAATGAACTGGTCACAATCAGGGGCACCTCAAACCCAAGAGTATGAAGCTCAGGGGCATGATGTTATGGCATGGCTTAGAAAATGACAATGATGAAGTTACTTGACCTTCACAGTGATTGGTTATTGCAGTGGGGGTTTCCAGATGGCAGGGGATTAGTTAAAAGTGCTTATCTTATACTATTTTAGGAAGATGTTTTAAGTTTCTTTGATGATTATCATTGGCATTTACAAGAAATAACCCAAGGTAAGTTCCATGGATGCTCATATAAATAAGCTAGATTGAGTTTTGCTTACTTGGCTTAAATGGTTCTGTCTGCTTGGGAGATGTTTAAGCCTGGTCTCCATTTTATTTTATTTTAATTAAAATAAATAAAAATTGTTGAGTGTCTATTATGTGCCAGTAAGTCACATTTTCACACAAATCCTGTGGATGGTATAATTATCACCATTGCTTAGCTGAAAAAGATGGTCTCAAAAAGTTAGCCCAATGGATGTCACACCACTGATGAATAGTAGATCTGGGATTCAGACTCTGGTCTAATTCCAAAGCCTGTGTTCTTTCCATCCATAGCAATGACTAGAGAGCAAGAAGCCTGCCGAGACAGGGCAGGTTGTAATGAACTGGATCAAGTTGACAGGGAGTCAGACCTGGACTTTGTGTAACCACATGGGGACAGGGTAACATCTGGCACAAGACTTTTAGGGAGTGGGCTACCTTTGGGAAAACACATTGATAAACTGCCCTGGGTGTGGGCCAGGAGGCCTGAAGGTCAGGGTCTGGAAGATAAAGGCAAAACCAAACTTCTCTACGAGTAAGTTAACTAGAATTTGGGACATGAGCAAGAAATTTGACAGAAGAGGGGAGGAGTTAGAAGAAAAGAGGGGGGCCGGCACATGATAGGAGGTGGAAGCCACAGAGAAATGTGGCCAGGAAGTGGGGTCCTGGTGATGAGGTAGCTGAGAGGTTTTGAAGAATAGAAATGGGTACTATTTCGTCATAAGTTGACTGGTTGCCGCACTGTTAACTCCAGCAGTTGCCTTAATTGTCCTAAGAAAGTGTGTCACGCACACTCACATGGCCTTGTGTTTGAAACAGGCTCATGTGGAATGTCCCAGCAGGAAAAAAAGAGAACTGCTTAGTGTAGAGGAAGAGGTGACAGCTGACAGGAGGATGGGCATAGAAAGGAGAGGGTTCCATACATGGAGTGATTCGACCTTAGCCGGAAGTGGCCAGGACACTTAGAAACAACCTCCTGCCCACATGTCAAAGATGAACAGGGATTCTGAAAGGGTTGCTGACTGGGCTTACCTCATAGGCGTGAGAATTTAAAACAATTTCATGTCAGTCTGAAAGGGCAAGTTGACTTTAGTTGACATCTGGTTTATGAAAAGAAGGTATTTCTGAAAGAGCTACTCAAGGATGAAGAGGGTGACCTTGGGCGGCTGTCCATTCCCATCCTTGGTAGGGTGTAGGCAGAAATAGTATGGCCATGGTAGAGCAGATTCAAGTGTTGGAATGGACGAACTATACAACCAGTTGAACGCCCTCCCAACCCTGAGGGTCCTGATTCTAAGCCTATCAAAGCAACTTGAATTAAGTATCCAAGCAAACAGGAGTTGATTTGGGAGTGCACAGACCAAGCTCAGCGTGAAGGAATGAAGTCCACTCAACGGGTTAAAAGTAATGCTGAACCATTAACATCCGAACAATAGATAAAGTCACCTTGCTATTGAGACCCGCTTCTGGCTCATTGAAGATGTTCTCACGGGCTCCCTGCCACCCCATGACCAGTGGCATGGTACAGGCAGCCCAGGATTTGTTTTCTGAGCAGGTGGGCAGATGTGCCTATCGGAATGGCAATTCACGCCTTGATGTCTGCTGTAGAGGCATCTAATGTTGAGGACTTTTTTGTCTTTTGAGATTAGATGTCTAAGCCCTTTGTCCCAGCTCGTTAGTGAGGTCCAAGGGCTAGAGGCACCCAGAGGGAGTGAAAGCCCACCCGCTTCTCAAGATGTGGAAGGGAAAGAGGGAAAGAAGCAGCGACAACTGGCTCTCTTTTCTCCCCTGCCTCGCCAGAAAAAAACCACACCAGATGCTGCTTCAGTCCTCGACTGTTTGCAAGGACAAAGTATATACCAATGGATAAAAAACAACTAAAAAGATTATACTGAAAAAAAAAAAAAAAGCTTCCTGGATTTTCTCTCAAAATGTGCCCAGAATAGTATATGCCCGCAAGTTGGAGAAAAATACCTAAGTAAATATGATATCCTGCCAATGCTCAAATTTTGTCTCAACCAGGGATGAAGCTAGCTTGGGTACGCGAAATTCATAGATAAACCATAAACTTACAAAAAGCAGACTTTATTGGTTTGAATTTTGGCTTGTAAGGTATTTCGCCACCCGCTCACAGGAGAATGACAGCGCGTAGTCAGAAGTCACAGGGGAGGGAGGGCAGCAAATATCTTACATCAACCACAAACTAGACATCATCCCAGGAGAATTGACTGTAGACCTCAGACAGTTTCTGATATTTGAATTAAGAATAAAAGTTCCCATATGAAGCCAGTCTAGGAAAGGCATCCTTGATGATTCTCGAAAACTCTCTCATGTGTTAGATTCCTCCACTAAGCAGGACTGAACACATCTGGGGAGGGGGGGTCACACCCCCTTCGATTAGGTTCCAGAGACTCAGGAGTTCAGTTCTTGCCCCAGAGCCTCCTCCCTTCGTGGTAACTAAAGGTAAATTGACCACCTCACTTAGTAAATCTGGAAGACTGAGTCACATTTAAGCTACAGCTTGGCTTTAGAAAGGTTTTCTTCCACGAAACTGTTTTTGAATTAGGGAAAGACCTCCCGTTCTTTCATTTAACAAACATTCTGAAGTCTTTCCTCCAATCCAGATGTCGTGCTGGATTCTGCAGATACAAAGATGGAGACACCATCGATGCTTTGGAATAGCTTGGAGCCTAGTGAATAAGATGCTCATGCAAACGAGATTAAAGCCCGGTAAGTGAGTTTATCAGGGATACACAGTGAGTGGCATTTCAGGACGAAGGAACAGTACCTTTCAAAGGTACCAAAGAGGGAGAGATTATGACAGTGGCAGAAGGAGAACAGGTCAGTGCCAGGGTCAAAGTGGTACCTCGTACTCTCTGGCTACATCAGAGATTTCCTGGAAGATGAACAAAGGCATGGTGAAGCTCAAGTGCTTTCCTGCATTTGAAGTTCAACAAATCCAGAGATACTGACTCAGAGCGAAAGGAAATAACACATCTTGACTGATTTCTTTGTGATACCCCAAAACAAGTGCCGGGGGACGTAAGGATTATTGTCTCTGGAATAGTCAGGGCCGCTTTGCGGGTGTGTGACCTGCAGCCACACAGGGCTCCGTGTTCGGAAACCTCTGGTCTTAGATACATGCTCTCCGGTTGCTATCTTGAAATTCTTTACTAATGGCCAAAGGGTCCTGCATTTCCTATTTCACTGGGTCCCCAAAATGATGTAGCTGATCCTGAGGAAAGGACATTTTCAGAGAATTTGAAGTAGTTCAGTATTGTATACAAAGAAGAAGGAGGGAGAGGTGGCTGATGAGGTTGAACAGGTAGGCAGGGGCATAGGTTGAAAAGCCTGGAAGTCTGGGTCCTGGGATTGAGCCCTGCATTGGGCTTCCTGCTCAGCAGTGAGTCCGCCTCTCTCTTTCTCTCTCTCCCTCTCCCCATCACTCATTCTCTCTCTCAAATAAATAAATAAAATCTCTATTTATTTTTTTATTATTTTTTTATTTGCGAGAGAGAGAATGAGAGAGAGCACGAGAGGGAGGAGGGTCAGAGGGAGAAGCAGACTCCCTGCTGAGCAGGGAGCCCGATGTGGGACTCGATCCCGGGACTCCAGGATCATGACCTGAGCCAAAGGCAGTCGCTTAACCAACTGAGCCACCCAGGCACCCAAAATCTTTATTTTTTTAAGTGTTTTATTTTTTAAGATTTTATTTATTTATTTGAGAGAGAGAGAGAAAGCATGAGAGGGGAGAGGGTCAGAGGGAGAAGCAGACTCCCTGCTGAGTGGGGAGCCTGATGTGGGAGTCAATCCTAGGACTCTAGGATCATGACCTGAGCTAAAGGCAGTCACTTAACCAACTGAGCCACCCAGCACCCCTAAATAAAATCTTTAAAAAAAAGAAAAAAGAAAAGCCTGGAAGTCGTGCTAAGCATTTAAAATTTGCCTCTGAGAGAAAGATAGTCATGGAAGACTTCGAAGAGGAAAGTAACATGAAGAGATTGGACTCTTAGATCACTCTAGTGTAATGTGAGTGATGGAGTGGAAATGTAACAAAGTTTTTGCCATTTAAAAATCAACACTTTTCATTGTTCAAATTTCATTTGTCAGGTCTAAATTTTTGATCCATGTTAAAATGCAAAGGCCTCCAAGAGGAATAACTGCTAGGATTAATGTACATTTTAGGGTAAATTAAGCTATCAGGATTTGTGAGCACTTTTGAGAACCAGAGGTAGGAAAGAGCGCATGGAAAACAGGAAGCCAAGGGCTCTGTTTGGAGGCAGGAGCCATAGAGAAGGCTGAGCCTTAACGGGGAAGTTTAGGCTTGGTTTTTTTTTTTTTCTCCCTTCAGTTTGCATAAGACCAGCCTGACCCACACATAAGAATTTGTTTCCTAAAATTCCTTTTAGCACTCCCTATCCAGAGTCCTTTAGTGCAGTGTTTCTCAGTGTGGTTCCCAGGAAAGCAGCATTAATATCACACGTTAGAAACACCTTCTCTGCCCCATTTCAGGTACACTGACTCAGCTGGGGTGGGGGTGGGGCCCCACAGTCTGGGGCCACCAGCCCCCCGGGTGGTCCTCATGCAGCTGAAAGCTGATGCATCATTACAAGTTATCTGTGTCCCTGAAACTCTGACCTTACAGGAAAAAAAAAAAGAGTGGACATGCCTGTCTGGTATTAGAATGGATAATCAAACGTGATTTTAATACCAAGAAGAGATTCGGCTTTGTCCTAAACATGCCTTCAATGGAAGTCTATTCAGTGAGTGATCGAAGTTATAGATGATTGCAGTGTCTTTGTAGGTGGTAATTCCAGCATTCCAGAATGACTTTAAAAGGTCATATTTTGTTAAACAAATTCTGAATCATGCTGCTGGAGCTAACAATGGTATTTAGCAAAACGAGATAAAGATGATTCTTTTTTTTTATTACTATGCAAGCACGGTTGTTATAGGGGAAGGATTTTTCACGTGTGCCATCATCTTCCAAGGGATAATCTGGAAAATTCCATTTCTTGGTGTCTTACATCGCACTATTAGTATCAAGGCTATGTTAATGCGTGTCCAAAAGTTGCTTTTGTTTACATAGTCTATAATATTTCCGAAAAGGAGCCTAAGTTGCTGTTAAAGCCATCATTTCTCAGATTCTTTCCATTGTCTTCCATGAGTAATCCAATACACATGGAAGGATAAAAGAGTAAACACTTTTGTGATAATCCAAATTTTTCCAATGGAATTTTAAACAATCTGACAGTTCGGTCTTATTAAAAAGTGATATAAAATAAATGCTTCTTAGCAAACAGTTGTCCAGTAAATATTATAATTCTGTCTCATATTCTCACAGTGGATTGTTTTCTGAGTCTTTCAGTAGAATTCTTTCAAATTAGAGCTCAATGATCTTCTTTATATTTTATCCAGGGTTTGAAATACATGAACCTGTCTCTACTTACTTGAACAATGGCCTCTATTATGGTGTCTTTTTCTTTAAATCCAAATATTATACTCAGCATTTTAGGAATTCCCTATTCCAAATACAGGCAATTAAATTGTCTATAAGTTATTCAGAGCCTTAGAAAATGAAATGAAATAGGAGTTTGTACTTTGAAATGAGTTCAAAAATGTGTACCATTTGTCAATGCTAGTCCCTGTCAAATAGTCCTCATTATCTTCTGGTTCTGCTGTTAACAGACGAAATAATCTGACACAGACTTCTCTAACAAAAATATTTCCTTCTAGGAGAAGTCTGGCCTTTCTCAGCAATCAGGAATCAAATTCTTGCCCTTGAAGATGGGAGAGAGAACAGAATGCTTCTTGGTGCCATATAAGCTGGATGAAATTTGAAAACATCCCCTAGGATACACTGGGGGACATGCACAGACATTTGCATTGCTTTCCCCAATATTCAGGACGAACTTGGAGCTGATAGCCTGGTACTCCAGAAGAAGAGAGAACCAAGTGTGGAGCTTTGGAAACCCTGAAGGTACTGTCTGAGGCCAGGGCTCAGATGCAAGGGTCACATAACTGGCCTGACTTTCTTTGGCCTCAGGACTCGGAGTTGCGACCAGAATGAAAGTGGTCAGCATCTTTTTCAGGGACTGTTTACCCAACCCCCTTTGCACTTGCCCTTTTCACTTGGGGTCCCCAAAGTATGGTTCTGTTCTTACTCTCTTATAAACTTCAGTATAACCAGGAACTAAATGAGTGTTTATTGAACCAACGTACAGGAAGGAATGAAAGAACAGTGGTCTCCTTAATCATTTCAGGATATTTGATTATTAACCTAAATGAATTTCTAATTAGTAGGCTTGGAGACAGTGTGAAGAAAATGTTTGGGAGCAAGAGCCTCTTTCTAAAAGCTGGGGTCACAAACTCATCTTTTTTCTCCCCCACTGCCTCCTCTTCCTCCCTCCACATATCCTTCTTGGTGGGGGGTACAACACATCCATCAGTGCTACTGTTTTCCTCTTCCATCAGAGTCTTGTCTGGTTCCTGAAACCCACACCATTCTGTCTTCATCCGTCAGTAAAAGGGTGGGATAGGAGAACAGGGAAACTGCCTACTGAACAACAGTTCTACTTAGATATCCTAGAGGGACTATAAATGCCATCTGAAAAAATCACTTCCTACACCCGTACCTGCTCCTTATGCTGAAAGACCTCTGTTATTATGAGTTGGCCAAGTGAAGAGTTTGGAGATACTTGGTTCCCTGGGTGGTAGTGAAGCTACCATGAAGGCATGCATGGGGGTTTGTATGCAGCGCAAAGTGTGGGAGGAGGAGGTATTTTGGAAATCAGAGATTACGTCTCAGTGACAGTGACAATGTCTCCATGCTGCAAGAACCCTAATGCGTGTGAATGTTTCAGAGACAAAAGAAGGTTGTGCTAGACAGACATGAAGCCAGGAAGCACCATGGTCCCATCTCCTATAGAACACAGTCCAACAAGCAAACCAAAAGGAATGGGAACCAATTCATGTCTTTGCTCATTTTCCCAGGAAATAGTCAAAGGTGGGGCTGGCGTAGATGAACTACCTTTTCATGCCCCAAAAAAGTAGCAAAGTGTTGTCCAAATCCATTCTCCCCCTATTCACCATGTTTCATACTCATCACTCCCTAATATCTTCTGAAATTCCCCCCACGCTCAACTCCCAACTTCCATTCCCACTCTCTTTCCAGCATAAATCTTCCAGCTTCTCCAGACTACCCCCAGCTATTAACTTACACCAAGCTTCTTGATAAGGTCCAGGTGAATGTGTGAGTCTGTGTTTGTGGGGGGCTCCTCCTAGAGTGAGGGAAAGGGGCCAACTCACTCACGTTGTCTCTACATGCAGTGCTCCTCCTCCAGCTATCTGCATGACTTTTGTAAAAAACAAAAAACAAAAACAAAACAAACAAAAACAAACAAACAAAACCCAAAAACCAAACAAACAAAAAACCAAAGAAGAAAAAGAAAGCAAAACTTGAAAATAAAGAAAAAAGGGAGCAGTATGTCTTTTAAATGTGCTATGGGTACATTGTTTCAAAGGCCCACATAAGTGTTATTTAGGGGAATGTACTCTCTTTGACTGTTTACTATTGATTAAAAGTCCTAGATGTAGTGAAGTTTCTTGTTAGTTTGTAGATTCTTTTTCCAGGAGAGACCAAATAATTTCTGTCTGTTAGAAAGAGAATTTCAACGAATAGAGTTTATATAGAATACAGTAGGACATTAACCAGCTTTGTCTCTAACCTAACATTCTTTCTTCGTTGAGCACTCCATTTTTAAACTTCCTGTAAATGCCAGATTTTTGAATGCCCCTTGAATCAGTCTTAACATTTTATTGATCCTTTACTAATTACTGAGTAGAATGAATCTTTGACATATGTTCAGTTTCTATTTATATGAGAGTTGTTTTTTGGCTTTTTGAAAATTCTACTGTAACAACTCTCATGGAGCCCTAGCTTCCCTCAGATGCCTGCTCAAATGCCTCCTTCCTGTGGAGGTATTTCTTGACCATGCCATAGGAAATAAGACCCTTGGCATTTCCCAGCTCCCTTCCTTTGCTTCCCCACAACATTAATGTCCACCTGATATTTTATTTTGATTTTTTTTTTGTCTCTAGCCACCAGAATGGAAGCTCTGTGACTTTAGGGACTCTACAGCCCACTCCCTGATCAATAGCTGCCATATAATGAGTACTCAGTGAACATCGAATGAATGAATGAATGAGTGAATGAATGAATATATTACTCTCAGGCATCCCTGCTCCTCAAAGGCTAATTAGATTGTATACAGCCTTACACTTGGAATTTTGATGCATATTAAAAGTACTAAAGTTGTATTTATTTTTTTCTATCTCCAGTGAGTGACTTCTTCTGGGCCCTTTAGTGAAACAGTTACCCTTGCAAGTTCAGTTTTCTGAACTTGCATGTGGCACTTGAACTTTTCACAGTAAAGACCAATATAGAGGCCAATGTAAGTGGCATTATCATTATTATTGTTGTCTCACTGCTTCTGCTGTTAGTAGCTATTGTTGAGGATGACAACTTTCAGGCAAGAGGAAGGCTTCCAGAGTCTTCAAGACTAAAACTCAACCTGAAAACACCTTCCTCTTTACTGGAAAGCACTTCCTAGGAAAACAGATTTTTCAGGTAGTTTTACTTCAGGACCACTGGGCCTCTCTCCTCATATAGCATGTTAATAAAAAAAAGAAACTAACTCATGAAGTATTTTACTAATGTGCCTAACGAAGGGATGGGAAAATGCACGAGGATGTCTCAGAGCCAAACTGAGCTCAAATATAGGCATACATCTCAGCAACACCTCTGAGGAAAGCATCTCCTTTAAATACATGTTTGTACCACTTCAACATCAGAAAAACTTTTTCCAAAACAGTTTTTTTTCCCACTGCCCAATAGCTAGAAATTTCTTAGGAATGAGTGTCTTCCCTAAAACAACAAACTGTCTTCTTTTAGCTCTGTGCCCTCAGAGAAAATAAGACCGCCTCAGAGATTTGAGTTTCCAAAGCCTCAGCACTTGCAGACAGTAAGCAGAATAACAGGAGACTTTACCCACGATCTGGTGGTACAGTGGGAAATCTGTTTCTGGAAGCTAAAGTCAATGGGAAATCCTTGAGCTGGGAGACTCTGAGGTTTAGCGGCTTAGATAGCAGAGCTGGTAATATGCTGACCAAGAGAGCTGAAGAAAGCTCTATGTCAGGAAGCGCTTCTACTGAGACTACATTAGGAACACTTTACTGATGGTTAGCATTAGAACGTCTCTATCCAAGTTCAACAGAAATTACAAGACTCCTCAGATTACTTCTCAGAGGAGCAGGGAGCATCTTCCATGCTAAAATCAGAAAGTGGAGTGGCCTGGAGCCTCTTCTAGAAAAACGTTAAGAGTTACCAGGGCATTCAATTGGGTTCACCTCGGCAGGAAGACCCTAAGAACACTTTTCAACTCTCCCCCGAATGCTCCCTCTTTAAATTCCTTATTGACTATCTCCACTTTCCCAGATCAAGTCAAATATCTCAGCCAGCAGAAAATATCCTCTTACTATAAAACAAAAATGTGGAGGACTTCTGCCCCATGCCACCAAAAGACTGGTGAATGGGTGGTTACATTTTTAGTGTCTTCGTGTATGTAGGCTCATGCTGCAGAATGTGCACTTCTCGGGCTGACGAATTGGAAACTTCTCTTCTGTAGGTGGCAGCAGACCCACCTGAAAATTATTGCTCCTGTCAAAATAATACTGATGGTTAATAGTTACTAAGCATAGAGAGAGCATAGTGGTAAAGAGCCTGGGCGGTGGAGTCAAGATGGATTCCTGACTCCACTGTTGACTATTTGTCCGTTTCCTAAGCCAGTTACTTAACCAATGTATGTTTCAGTTTGCTCAACTGTAAAATGGAAATCTACAAGGAAAATAACAATGGCAAACCATTTCAGTTGTTTCCGAGGTGCCAAACATTATTCCAGTGTTTCGCCTTCATTAACTAATTTAATGCCTTCAACAGCCCCGTGAGGTGGGTGCCTTTGTTAGGTGCCTCCTGAGTCTCCTGCACTCTCCTATCTTGAGCGCCAGAGACTCTGGATACCTGTGAAGGACGATGACGTGTTTTTTGGGCATGATCTCATTTCATCCTCAGAGCACCCTTGTGAGGAAGGCACTCTTCTCTGACCCACGTTACACCTGAGAAAACTGAGGCGCAGAGAAGTTAAGTAACTTACCCAGTGGTGCCGGGAATGATAGACTCTAAACACCCTGCTCTTCAATATGATGCATCATAAGATTTCTTCCCCTGGAGCTCCCCCATTTGTTAAAGGGGAATGAAACCAACTCAAATCACATGTTTGTGAATGGGAAACATTTAAAAAGGATGGCTGAAGAGCTGCCTTCAGTGCTTGCATCAAAATAAACAGATCTGATAGACACAATCAAAATCTCTGGCTTTAATTTTGTTGTTGTTGGGTTTTTTTCCCCCTTCGGTACAGGATTTTATGATGAAGTTTCCATGAGAAAAGGGATCCTGTGGTCATGTAAAATAATCAACAAAAAGAATGTAGGAAAGGGTACTGGTAAGCCATATGAGGAAATCACTAACAAGATGTTTGTCTCCATACGGACATGAAATTACCCAAACGTAGGATTTCACAATCTACAAGATGGCAATAAACTGCCCCTAGAGGGCGCCAAAGTGAGCTCCTTTTTTTTTTTTTTTTTTTAAATCTGTGTCTGTAGATTGATCTGGACCTCCTGCATCTCTGAGGGTTTCTGGATGGTCCTCAAAAAGCCCCTCGGGGCCTTCCTCTGGTTTGGGGTGTGGGCCACGGTCACCCAGAAAGCTAAATGCAGCCTCTGGGTGATAAAAGCCCTGCGGTAAACTGACTTCCAGCTAACCGCAGGGCAGCAGAGAGCGTCTAATGCAACCACAAAGTGGTTTGCTGGCACAGAACCTTCCCAACCTTTGGAACGAGATACCGGGGGATGTTGTTTAGTCTCCATCTTGGAAATCTTTCTTTTGACGAGAGGAAAGTTCTGATAGCCATCAGTCTGAAATCAGCTGGGCACAGCCTTAGGTGGAGGCAGCGGGGCAAGCAAGTGGCATCTCACCACCTCAAAACCTACGGTCTTAAAGGAGCTGCTTACGCAGTTAATTACAAGACAGGCGGGCATACGGATGCCGGCGGGGATTGACAAACTGCACGTAGACTCCCAGAGCTCTTTGCAATATGACATTTGTTTTTCTAAAAAATGTCAAGAGACATTCCATTTTAATGCAGAATCAGGAGTCCTCGGTGAACTTCGGGAGTCTTCAGGTATGCATGCAACGCCTAGCATGCTGCGGTCAGCCCGACAGGGACTCCTTGTAACAGATGCCCTTTGTCAAGGTCACTGTGTTGAGCTTGAACAGAATCATTGGCCTCTTGCAATCGGGCTGCCGCTTCAGGAACCCTGTTCTGAAGGAATTGAGATTGACAGTGTTAAGACCTTGAGTTTTTTTCTTTACAGTATCGCCACTGCTTATTCTTCAGCCCTGCCTTTGAGCTGGAAATTGATGTACTTGGCTGATGAGACGAAATTACATGAAAGAATGGCTTTCATCATATTGCTCAATTTAAGGATTTCTTTCATTTCAAAGGCAAGGTTAATTACCTCTAGAAAATGTTGAGCAATTATCCACTAATAATAGCAGGGGAGATGCTCCTGGAGCAGCCAACTCAAGGTAGAGGGGGCATTTTCGAGGAAGGCAAGAGACTTAGATTTGAATTAATGCTGGAAAAGGAAAACTATGTTAAGCTTTTAAGGACTTTAATGGGGAGAGACAAGACTGTTGCTTTAGCCTTTCAGCAGCCTTGGCTGTCAGTTTCTTCCATTTTTTTCCAGGACTTGGAGGAAAGGCCTGTTTGATGCACTCCCTCTGATGTTTGCCTGCACCCGCTTATAACCTAGAGCAGAGGTGGCTCAAGTCTCTGGCAATCAGTGGGATGCAACAAAGGTGTGAGCTCTGTGTTAAAGCTGAAGAAGAATCTAGTCTGGGGCTTTTCAGTTGCATCCAGGGATTTCCTATTTCACTGCATATTAAAGTACTCAGAGTTCGGAGTCTTGCTCTTGGAGTTCGGGGATGAGTGATGTCTTCCAAAAGCCTGGGCCTTTTTGCAGGCCCAACACACACACACACACACACACACACACACACAGAGTGCTATTGTATCTCTCCCTCTCAGGCTCAATTTCAAGTCACTGAAGAATGAGAAAGCTTCCAAATAAGATTCTCTCCATTTTGCTCAGCTCGAGATCCTGTGGCAGGTGGATATAGAAAGTGGAACAATCCACACTCTGTTCTTTCTTTGATTCCTTTAGTTCTAGAAGTAAGGTTGTGTGTGTGTGTGTGTGTGTGTGTGTGTGTGTGTGTGTAGGAGCTTGTTAACACACACGAGACCTTGTCCTTACTGCGAACACAGTTCTCACGCAGCCCCAGGATTCCTCGGCACCTGGGAGGAAAGCTGGTCAGTAGGTACCGGGAGATGCTTCGAAGAGTGGGCCCAACCTGGTGCTGAAGGGGGGCCGTGGAGATGCTTCTCTATCTCAATAGAACCTCCTCACCTCTTCGAAAAGCAGGGCTGGCAGGAGGCTGTGCACTGTTCAAATAAAATCCTGTCACCACATGAATGCATTTCAGTTCCTTTCTCTCCAGAAAGAGCAATTCCCTGATTTCCTGGGCTAGCCATAAGATGATCTTAGAACCCCCACATTATAGCTCTTTAACATTTCAGTATTAAACTCACATGTGCTTAGGCCTAAATACGATAGGGTTTACAGGAATTGATCTTGAAACTGAAGCCCAGAGTTTCAAGGATTCTGCAAGGGAGAAAATTATTAGTTGCTGGGATCCCATTATTTGCGATTATGAGCACTGAGAAATCTGGGGTCTCATTTCTGATAGGTAGCAGCCACCATCAAAATGCCTATTTTGGACAGCTTAGGACCTACTGTTAAATCCTGCCTTTGAAAATTGAAAGTAAAGAAAAATAAGAATACATCATACAAAAAATCTGCCAGGTAATGCAAAAAGAAATAGAAAACTTTTCTAGACAGAGAGTGAAATTAGTTAAATTCACTTTACAGAAACCTCACCATCTAAACAGACTTGTTTTTCTCCTTTTTCTTCTGTGAAGTTCCAAGGGTACTTTGTCAACTAGGCAAAGCTCAGTTTCCGACCTTTGCTTTTTTTAAAAAAAAACACATTCTAGCTTTTTCACAACTTTGAGCCTACTTGTCCCTGTTTGTTCCCAGGTATGGAATATCACTAAATGTCCAGTATTAGAGCCGGAAAGAACAGTCAGAAACTCTTTATCCCATCCTTCCATTTTATAAACAAGGAAACAGAGACTTCGAGAAGTGGAGAAACTTCGGTAAGGTCCCACAGCTAGTTAATGACAAAACTGGGAGGCAAATTCAGACTTCCTGACTCCCAGTCCAACAGAGTCGGGATCCAGATGGTACACATGACATGAGATCCTCCCTGAGATGGGACAAGCCACTGTAAGGCTCCAGGCAGAACGGACTAAATGCAGCCACAGAGAAAAGGAATGAGGCAGGAAAGGAGGAAAATTTTAGATCTTTGAGGCTCTGCCTCTTTGCTTCCTCTACATATTAGCTCTCTGGCACAAAGCCCCGTCACCCTGACCCAAGAAATCACCCTGACATTTCAGATATTGAGCTAGGAGTGTTCTTCTGTCCACAAGAGATGCCATGGGAATTATTACATTTATGTCTAATATAAGTAGATACTAATCCTAAAATGAAATCTTTTTGTTTGTTTCACCTTTTTTATTATGTTGTCATAATCACCATACATTACATCATTAGTTTTTGATGTAGTGTTCCATGATTCATTGTTTGCGTATAACACCTAGTGCTCCATGCAGAATGTGCCCTCCTTAATACCCATCACCAGGCTAACCCATCCCCCCCCCCCAGAACCTTCCGTTTGTTTTTCAGAGTCCATCGTCTCTCATGGTTCATCTCCCCCTCTGATTTCCCCCCCTTCATTCTTCCCCTCCTGCTATCTTCTTCTTCTTTTTTTTTTTTTAAACATATAATGTATTATTTGTTTCAGAGGTACAGGTCTGTGATTCAACAGTCTTACACAATTCACAGCAGTCACCATAGCACATACCCTCCCCAATGTCTATCACCCAGCCGCCCTATCCCTCCCACCCCCCACCACTCCAGCAACCCTCAGTTTGTTTCCTGAGATTAAGAATTCCTCATATCAGTGAGGTCATATGATACATGTCTTTCTCTGATTGACTTATTTCGGTCAGCATAATACCCTCCAGTTCCATCCACGTCGTTGCAAATGGCAAGATCTCATTCCTTTTGATGGCTGCATAATATTCCATTGTATGTATATACCACATCTTCTTTATCCATTCATCTGTCGATGGACATCTTGGCTCTTTCCACAGTTTGGCTATTGTGGACATTGCTGCTATAAACATCGAGGTGCATGTATCCCTTCGGATCCCTACATTTGTATCTTTGGGGTAAATACCCAGTAGTATTTACTCTATTTTCTATTTTCAACTTTTTGGGGAATCTCCATACTGTTTTCCAGAGTGGCTACACCAGCTTGCATTCCCAACAGTGTAGGAAGGTTCCCCTTTCTCTGCATCTCTGCCAATATTTGTCATTTCCTAACTTGTTAATTTTAGCCATTCTGACTGGTATGAGGTAATATCTCATTGAGGTTTTGATTTGGGTTTCCCTGATGCCGAGCCTTATTGAGCACTTTTTCATGTGTCTGTTGGCCATTTGGATGTCTTCTTTGGAAAAATGTCTGTTCATGTCTTCTTTAAAGGTAAGTTTCTTTAAGCATTACAATATAGACTTGGTGCTTATAAACTAATGCAGGTCTGACGACTATCCAGTACTCACTCATTCATTCATTTCCTCATTGATTCCTTCAGTAGACCCTTACTGAGCACCTAGTCCATGCCCAGAGATGCAGTGGTGGTCAGGAACAGGCATGGTCCTGGCTCCCTTAGGACGTATAATTTACTGGGTGCAACAGACATTGAACAAGTATTTGCAGTGAATTTTGGAGGGACACATCACAGAACTCCACTAGGAACCAAGGGACTAGTTTGACATTCCAACTCAGTGGTTTTTGTTGAGGGTAGTTTGGAAAGTGGTGGAGACATTTTGGGCTGTTATAATGCTGGAGGGATGCTCCTAGCCTTTAGGTGTCAGGAAGCAAGGTTGCTGGGTGTCTGGTACCTTGTTGTCCAGCCCCGCAATAGACGGAATTTTTCACATCCTTCGTGACCTCCGAGTCCTTGCTGGACATTCCCAAAGGTGAAAAGCCTGCTTAATTACCCAAGCCTGGACT